GGGATTTTAAGAGTCTTTAATTAAGAGTAATTAAATAGCTGCTAAAATTCTCTTTTTTATTTCTACATGAACTTATATTTTGATAAATTAATTTCTGATTCTGAATCGGTGAATAGTATACAGATTCAAATTTATGGGTTCCAATTTCAAAAATATCATTAGAATTACTGTTTTTACCACAATACTTGTGATTTGTTTTATCTTCATTGATTATCAAATTCATTTTCTTAGCGACAGATTCCAGTGCTATGAAGGATTTCCTAAGTATTTTTGCAGATCTTGCAATGCAGTCAATATCTTCTGCATACGCCAAAACATATATTGTTCTACTAAAAATATTATCCCTTACATCAAATAAACTGCACTTAATAATGTCACACAAGTGAAAACTTGGCTAACACTAAAGTTTTCCCTATGTATTGAGTTTTAACAGTCTCATAAATGTTGTTCATATAATCTTAACATTTAGATCGTTTTTAATGCCTGCAGATTTCTGTGTCTATTAACCAGAAATTCTACTGCCATTTGTAAAATATTAAAGTGCTTTCGTTTTGAGAAGAAAAACAGTAACTTGTGATTCTAATGATGAAAACTAAAATGAGGATATGTTACAGTTTGGGAAAAAAGCCTTAAACATTACATTTGATGTTAGGCATCTCATCAGTGTGTCATGCATTCTTACATCTATTCTCAATAGGGATAAATTTAAAAAATAACACTTGTTTAAAGTGCTCCAGTTTTTATATTGTGAAAAAAAAATTTGGAAGGAAGATTATTCTCTATAATATAATGTCATATGATGGATTTATTCAGTGATCATTTGCTCATATTGCTTATGCACTTTTATTCCCTTATGCAACAAAACCATTAAATATTTTATAGTATTAACCACACTATAAAAATGTTTTTAAAGTAGAAGTAAATGATTATTTTAATTTAGAATGATCTTGTTATTAGAATAGAATGTGTTTGACTTTAGAAACTATTATAAATTTAGAAATTATTAATTTTAGATTGTTTTAATGAATCACATCATATTATTGAAGAAAATTTAAGGGCCGAACGAGAAATCAAAAAAATCTTAATATATCTACAATGAAAATGAATAAAAAATTTATCCATTAACCAGCTTCTCTGTTTACAAATTAATGTTCAAATATCTCTGAATATTTATATGTTAGCTTGTAAATAAAATACTCTGAATACATGTAAATAAAAATTTAGCAATTTTGAGAAATTGTGTTATCTAGTTTTATTTATGCATGCAAGATTATTTTCAATAATTTTATTTATATGTACGACATATATCAGGGTCACTTTCCCCTTGTTTTGAATACTACAGTGTGTTGGAAAAAAAATTGACAATAGACATGATTATAAATTTTACAGTAAAAATTCTATTTAGAAATACATAATTCATGCTTCCAGGTTCACAATGCTAAGTAGGTAGTTAGTAAGATCTAAAGCCATGGATAGTGAAACTTATAAAGTTGTGATCAGAGAAACAGTTTTTTTTGGAGGGGGGGGGGCAGAGACTTGGACTGTAGACCTCAAAACATGAGAAGATGTTAGTTACCAGGGACAGAAAAATCTGAATTGAGTTTTGGACCAGCCAAAGTCAGTGATGTGTGGGAAAACTATTTATAATAAAAAGATTCCTTTGCTTGAGGCACTTTGAGAGAATGGATTACACCCAATACACAAAAAAGATCTTTAATGGTCAATGCCAAGGTGAAAGAAATGCGGAAGATGAATGGATAAATGAGGTTGAAATAAACCCCAAGAAATTTAAAAATGTTGGCATAAGGCAGAATACTTTGCAGTTAAACTGTTTAGGAAGTCGTGGGCCAACATGAACTGCTGTACCAAAGATTAAGTGCAACTATTTGCTATTATTTAAACACGGGTGTTGATAATCTAACATTTTCCTCTAAAATCTTTTTTATCCCTTTTTCACATACTTTTTCAAATATGTACTAAACTAATAGCATTGAGTATAACTGTATCATAAATATGGAAAATGTGTCTTGAACATAATAATATAAAAACTTGAAGAGTTGGTATATACATTTTAAATTATGCATAAAATCATGTGTTATGTGCACTAAATTTGCATGGAATAAATTTTTTGTCATTAATGCTTGGTGATAAATTATAATTGATAGAAATTATTTATTCAATAAATTTATATCTATTTTCTTTTGTAGGACTATTCTCAAATCAATGATGTTTCTGTAAATTATTTACGAGGCAAAGATATGGTAGCTCTTGGTTGCCTGATTAGTGAAATCGCTCTATCAACTCATTGTAAAGTTTTACCTCGAAACTCTTCTTTCAAAACATGTTATGATCACTTACTTAAACTATTACGAATATATAGACAAGAAATACCAAGGTATTAACTAGTTTTAGCTTTACATTAAATAGGTTCTGTTTATTTTCTTTATAATGTCCGAGATTCCACTTCATATGTTGATATTAGAATTGGTAATGAACCTAGTATGGACTCGCAACACACTTCCCAAAATTTAAATAAGTTTTAGTGTACAAGCCATGACTTATGTCTAAAAAAAGTTATAATTTTTTATGAGTACTTAAGTATTTTGAAATTTTCATACCCTTTGACAAATTCTTTTTTAATATTCTTATTAGACATGATCAAATTTTTGTAATTTTTTACCCATCTCTAAACATCTATTTTCACCTATAATTAACGACTATTTTCACTTGTAATTACTAAAATACAACTTTTTGCATGCAGAACTGTCAGTGGGTTAAATGATAAAAAGTTAATGAAACTTTTTTTCATCTTGTCAAAAAAACATGCATTGTATATATGCATAATGTTATTATTCATTGTTGTTATATATACAGTGCACTCCCAATTATCCGGGTTAATCACCAGGACAGGTCGCGCGGACAATCGAAAAACACGGATAATCCGAAAACTCCTTTTATTAAAGAAAAATTCAATATCAGTACAAAAAATATAAAAATTACTGACATTTGCATGCATAACATCAAACTAGAAATTTTCCTTTTTAAAAAATGTGTAATGCGTCTTCGCCATATATCGATACACATATTTTACGAACCGCAGTAATGTCACCGTAATCAAATCCTCCCATATAATCTAATAAAGTTTCCACAGAGCAGCAGAATGAGAAATTGTATTTCATTCATTTACTACATCTTCTGCATCAGTTACTATCATCATTATTTGATTTAACAACATAACGATGTCTTCATCAGTCAAATACTGGAAGCCAGGCTCACATGCATCACTTTGAAACCAATCTTCTAAATTTTCTTCATCAAGAATTTCGAAACCTTCGATTTCTTTTGCTTGTTCAAGAATACTATTATCATACTCTTCTTGAATATCTGAAGATGATTGTTCATCAGCGGTTTGATCTTTCTCCAAGATCGTGATAAAGTAGACGGTTTTACCTTTGACCATGCTGCTGATATTCCATATACTGCAATTCAATAACGAATATTGCTTTAAAAAATTTGGTAGTGTTATAACTTCATGAATAAAATTTTTTTAATCTTGAAAATGTTTCTCTTTAAATTTTTTGTTGACTCCGGAATGAGCACGGTTAATCGAGAGTGTACTGTATATATATGTATATATATATATATATAAAACATGCAAAAATTACAGAACGCTAAAAAAAGAAAGTTAATAAAAGAAATCTGGAAAAAAAAATTTGAAAAAAGGGGGGATGAAATTATAAAGATATAATCTTTTCATCAGCTCGCACGATTATATCCGCAAAAAGGAATGCTTTCTAATATTGTACCAAAGAAAAATATATCAATGCAATAGTGTGAAGAGCACTAAAAAAAAAATTACAACAAATAAAATAGAGCACATTAAGTAAAAATATCAGGTAAAAACAGAAAATAAAATACAGTAGGGAACCGATTATCCGGAACGATCGGGACCATTGCTATTCCGAATAACTGATTTTTCCGCTTTTCTGAATCACTACAAAAAGCCGTTTGTTTATTGTTAAACCCAACAAAAAAAAATGTTTTTTTGGAAATAATCTTAAAAAGAAGAATAAACGATGAAGGAATACACTAATGATTATTTCCAAAATGATGGTAAGGTAAACATTTTTCAAAAAAGAAAAAAAATCCTATAATCTTATGAGGAAAAATTTTTTTTTTTAAAAAATGGCTCGAAAATTTATCGAATTTCGTTCCGCTTTTTTGTTTTTCCGGTTTTCTGATTTCCGGATAACGGGTTCTGTACTGTATAAAGAAAAAACAGAATAAAACATAAAAAGAAATCTTTAAAGCGAGTAGCAAATTCAAATGAAGTTATATAAATGGGAAATTTTTCAAGAATGATTTAAAATATTTTCGTAACAAGATTGTCAGATTACAAAATATGAAAACAGAAACACAAATTGAAGTAAAAGTGTAAATAGAAGAGTTTTGTTTTTATAGTGCGTTCTTACTGCAGTACTAAAGTGCGTTTGATTTGTTACTTACCAAGGATGAGCCCTAAAATGGATGTGCGCAAGGTAATAGTATCAGGGTTTTTTCTGCTTTTTAGAGGATTTCCGCCTTTTTTACTTTTGTCTCTCGAATGACAGAACATCTGTCATCAGCACAAATTAAGAAAATTTAGCATTAAACTATACTTATTTATACCTGACTTGAGAATATAATGAAAACTTTTGGACTAGCTACAATTTAAGTTTATTGCCTGCATATTAATTTCTCTATTGTTGTTTGCTGAACAGTATAACACTCTTTTTGTTTTAAGTTTTCTGGTCTATTGAAATAAATGTGTTTCTGAGATTAATTCACAAAAAATACGCATTTCAGCATGTGCTATAGCATTTGTAGAAACTTAAACAGGGAGCATAATTATCATGGTGTTTCTAATATTTAAAAATCAAAATTTGATATTTATGCAATATTCTAATATTTATCCTATAATTTGGTATATACCTGATGTTTTTAATTTAAAAGTTAACTTTAGAGTTGAAGGGGGCATAAGATTCTTCTGTTTTTTGAATTTTAAAAGTTGAAACTTAGCTACTAAACTTTATTATTCTTTTATTCTCTTATATCTTGATTAATATATAAAGCTTAACACCCCATATCTTTATATATTTAGCTTGGTTGGGCTGTCAATGTACGTATGTAGTTAAGAAGAAGAAAAAAACTTTAAATAAATATGTCAGTAATTTAAATGTTTACTTTTTATGAAAAATAGTTTGACCCACCTTTTTATTTATTATTTCACGATTCAAATTGATAGGTATTTTCAGATTTTTTTTCCTTTCCTACTCTCATGCAAATAATAAATAATATTTTTAAAAATGGTATCGAAAAATATTACCAAACATGGTATAAACATTAAAACATAAAAATGATATTTTTCAACTTGTTCGTTATTTTGGGGGTACCCTTGTGTAAAGTTTTGAACCAAGAAAATTGGATTTGTTCAATATTAAAAAGCAACCGTGCTTTAAATTACTTTAGAACCTATCTTCACACATTTGATATGAATGTGTTAAGGTAGCATTTATATTAAATTCTACTTTCTATATCTAATTCCATGCTTACCAAGTCTCCTGTTTTTTAATGAAGACTCCTGTATTTATGAATATATCCTGTTTACCTGTGTATTCTCAACTGTCTCTGCATTTGTGGATAAAAATTTTCTATGAAATATCTGCTAATGATAAAAATACTTCTCTAATTCCTCAATAGATACTGCAGTGTGTTAAGTATTAATGGTTTTAAGTATATTAAAAAAAATCTACTTAAGATTTATATACATATTTTTTATTTTGCAAAATGTTAGTGCTTATATTATTTCCAATTTTGACTTTCATGATTTTGCATAATCTATCAAAACTTTACTGCTCTAGTAGCTCAAATAATATCACTAGTAAAACCTCTGTTTGTTATTTTATTTCTCCAATGTTGGCATGTATGTAATTCGGCCTTCTATTATTGTTGCAGCAAATTGCAGGCATCAAAGAGAATGCCATTTTAGAGCGAGTCATTCTGGGCCACAGAAGTCTCCAAGGAATGCCTCAGCAACTTGCAGAAGTGTATTACATTATGGAAGCCCAGCAGCTCAATGGTTATTGCTTAGAGTGTTTTCTTGCCAAAGTAAATCAATTCTTTTCAGTTTTGTTTTATAACATCTGGTTCTGGCCACTTTTTTAGCTTTCATGTTATTGGATCAAAATATTACTAATGTTAGCTCGAGTTCCTATTATCCTGAAAACTCTGGTAGTAGCAGAATTTTTATTCTTTGCAGTATTTTCTCAATTTAGATTAATAATTTTGTTTAGAAACAACATAGAGAAGGTACAGACCCAACAGTTTTTGCTTTATTATTTTTAAAAAGCTATATAAAATTTAATCTGGTGATGCTGCAGTAACTGCTGCCAGGCCGAGGACCAAGTGTGAATCTCAAATGATCACTGTACCCTTCTAACTAAGAATTAACTACTAAAATTAGAAGCTACAAATAATAGAAAAAACTATATAATAAGCTGAAGATATTTGATAGCTATTTTTCTAACTAATTTCCATTAATATTTCTAAAAATACTGTATTAATATCCTTAAATTTTCATGACATAAGGTCATTAATTTGAGGTGTCAAAACACTTCTGAACCAATTTTTCACCACTTTTTTTAAAATACATTTTACCTTAACTGCACTATCTTCATAACAAAGGCAGTTTAAAGATTTATTTAAATATGTAGCAATTCATTTATTGTTGTTGCTCTCCTAGCCCACTAAGCCACTGGGGTTGTGATTGTTATTGTTTTCCAGTGGTGCCAATTATGGCCATGTATTCTACTTCTGCCACATCCATACGTCACACCCGTTTAAAAGGCAGACGCACTCATTCATCCACTGATCATAATTTTAACCTGAACCAGAGAAAGATCATTCTCTAATCCAGTACCCCCAGAGGTATAATTTGTAATGGGAACATGGCGGACTTTGTGGATGTACAGATCTGCATGCCTTTCCACGTGGGTTATTTATGTGTATAGAGATGACGTCCTTGATGTTTGTGTGCACCATTATGCTGTTGCAATAGTTGATGATTTCGTGCTGCAGGACAATAACGCAATGCTGCATAGGAGCCCTATGTAAATTATTACCTTCAGAACCAAACAATTGGAGAGGCCAGCGCATTCACCGAAACTTGAATCCTATCAAGCATGTTTGAGATGCTTAAGAAAGATGTGTTGGTGCTCTCAATCCTCCTCATTATACCCTTATCACTCTTGCAAGAACAATGGTCCGCAAGCTTCAGATAGAACGGGTAGCCCACTTAATTGAAAGCATCACATATGGCTTATACTTTTCTATTCAAAACTAACTCATCTGATTTATTAATTTTAAACATATGCTAATTTCTGTAACACCATAATTCTCTGGCCAACAATTTTAATATTATTTTATACTTTATTATGTGCACTATAATACTAACCGGTTTTATTAAATTTTATACTTAACTTTTTAAGCTATGGTAATTTTCGTGATTTTTAAAATGATAACATTTAAGTTGTTACCGACTCCTAGAAGCCCAAAATATTTTTTTCTGCATCACTGTTTATAAAAAATTTGTTTACCTCTGAGAGACAAGGTGGGTTTATGCTGCAGGTTTGAGCTCACTACTGAAAAAGGGTTTCAGACTCTTCCGAGCTTGAACTCATGATAAAATTTTCATATACCTTTTTGCTACTTTTAAACAAACTTTTGGTGCAATTATCAAGTATAAATTTTTTTTGAACTAATTGTGATAATAAGGTTTAAGTCACTAATTTCCTTGTTTAGGTATCAAAGGGCAAGTGACAAGACCACATAAAATTGGCTCTTATCCTATGTATATATTGAGCTGAAAGTAATCCTATATATCTCGAGCTCGGGTGAGTTTGGAATGAAATTCTATGGGATGACTTGAATCTCTAAGACTAAGAATCTCTAAGCCAAACTTATCTCTAGTACCCCTGCTGTAAAGTTCTTTTACCTACACTGCTAACCATTCATTTTTAAGAAATGAGATTTTCTCTCATGTGCTCCAAAAAATATTTTTATCAACGAAAAAGATACTATAACAGATCTGCCAACTTTCAGGGTTTTTTTTTTGCAAAACTCAATCAACGTGAATATTTTCTTTGGGTTTTTTAAGAGTGATTCCTGCTTATTATAACTTGAGAGCAACTTCATTTGTTTATTTTTTAAGTCCCTAGTTTTTTGTTGATAATTTTTCTATGTGAGTGGAAGTTTTTAGGAAAAGACATAACTCCTTTCTTGATCTTTTAGAAACTCGGTTATGTGCAGACATTTCAAATTTTTCTCATTTTTAGTAGAATATTTACAAAATGGAACTAAGTCAGTGTGCAGGAAAAGTAATGACTGCAGTTTGATTGTGATATTCACTATACCTGACAATGATGTGACTGTTGGAAAAAATTCTGCCCTGTAACAAAAATCCAGAATTTTTGAAGCAAACTGGAGAATTTATTGATCAGGAAAAGAGAGTTTCAGGATTTGTAAATTTTTAATAAATGCTAAATCAGTCACACAATTTATTTTCAAACAAAAGATTAATTTATTATTTTGTAATATGTAGAGGTAAAAAAAGTTACTGAAATATACTTTCAAAGCTTAATTAGAAATATGTGTGAATTTAGTATTTTTGTTTATCTTTTCTTATTGTTTTGCTAACATCTGTGGTCATAAGAAGCCTCTGGCATTTTTGAGGTTGATTATTCTGCTTTTATCTCTTTATCTTTACTTCTTAAATAGTTTTATTTTAAATTATGTAAACTTATTGTGTTATTAACTTTAAAAAAAGTAAATTAAATAAAAACTTCGTGTTAATTTTTTGATTTTTAAAAAAATTAAAACTTTACTTTAGTAATGGCCAATTAATAGGGATTTGTTTTTAAAAAAAGAGAACATTAGAGAATTGAGATATTGAAACAAACCTTATCTAAACACATACGATGAATTAATCAACAACAACACGCCAGTATGGTAGGTCCTTTTACTTGACTAGTGCAGCATAATTCAGAGTTTTTCTGCTAGAAAACAAAACAAATTTCGTCAAAATGAAGGTACGGTTTAACCCCACTCTCTCCTATATATTTATTTCTGACTAGTAAATATGTATTATCACTGTTCACAATGTGAATACTCATGACTATTTCAATTTCTCTTAATATAAACTAGAAATGAAACTCTTTTACTACCAGTTTTTTCTCTTTTCTTGTTAAAATACACCCCAGTTATTGCACCTAGCAGCATTGAGTTGTGAAGAGTTTAGATATTCCCTGTACATGCTGTCAAGCTTAAATTTGTTTCATTACAAAATTTTTGTATGTATTTTCTTGTAAATTTTAGCTTCATTTCTTGATTCTAGCCATTTTTGTGCAATTTATATTTTTTTGGGACAATCATTATCTTCATGATTTGTTTGTTTCTTTTTTTTTTTTTTAGGATCATGCTGATAATTCTATTATCATTGGGGTATTGTTCATAGGCATTTATCTATGGTACCTTAACAACCAACCATCGATTTATTTTTTGTAAATCCTTATAATTAGAACACATTTGTTTTGTATACTTTATACATGTAATTTATGTTTATTTTCATTTTATCTCAGGATTCCTACTTTTGTTAGGTATAATGATGCCTGTAACACTAATTGAATACTGAGTAGGTTAAAACACAAACATCTTTATTGGCGGTGATGGGAGAACTCAACTTAACTTTGATTCACAAACTGGGAGTTTACTTATTAGGTGTTGCCAAAGCATAATGAGGAATACTAATGTTCCGAATGTCACATGACATCTCCCCTTTTTTAAAAGAAATTAAATGTAAAAAGTAAAGTACAAACATTATTAAAAAATGAATTCAATCAAAAATATGTTAAAGAATCAAGTTGATAATGAAAGGCATGTAAAAGAGTTGTGGGGATGATAGTTAACGACAATATCAACCTTCATATATGAAAAGGTACTCTTACATGTAATCAAGTTAACATGTCTTATGTACTAGTGAATTGGAATTATATTTTTGTAGTGGTAGACACACTATATTACTCCCCCACCAAATTCGATGCACGGATACCACTAGTTGATTCATTGCTGATTTGTGAGCAGCCTGGAGAACTTCTTTTTCTTTTCCTCCAGTCGTGGACACTTACCTAGGTTTGCAAAACCCTTTCCCATATAGTCTGCTTCTGGCTACCAGTCCAGCTACATAAATTACATAATACATAAATAATTTTTACCATAAAATTTAGGATACAACATTTTGCATTTGCAGATGACAGAGGTGTGTATCACATTTGTTTAAAAAAAAAAGAAACAATAAATGAAGTAAAAAGAACAATAAATGAAACAAATTTTGTTCTATACATAAAATAATTGAAAAAGAGAAATAAAAGGAAAAAGAACAGAAAAAGTGTACATGATCGAAATGTATCATTTAGTTCACAGCCGTAGTCACTCCTGTGTTGTCATTAGCAGCCGAATGTATACAGGCTAACATTGTGGGATTGAAACTGGGTAGCAACAGTGCAAGTAGTGACTTTTTTCCCCTTTATATTTCAATATTATCTTTTAAAAGAAAAGTCAGTTTGAAGTGAAATTGTGATTTTTTAAAATTAATATTTTAATGTAACAAATGTTCTAGTATGTTTTAAGAGTAAATATTATTTGAGGATACTGATACATATCTCGCAGATTTGATTAACCCTTTATATCCTGACGACACTCATGCATTTGGTACCACTTAACATTAAATAAAATAATATTTCCATAATCAAACAGATTTTCTTGATCTTTTTATTTAAATAGTTTTCATATCTAACTACAAAAACACACTAAAAGTTTAATCTAATCATGATAATTAAAAATAAGTTTCACAAGTTTTCTGAAAATATAATTTGGGATATAAAGTGCTATTACGCAATTCCACTTTAATATATAAGTGTTTATCCTATTCAATCTATGATACTTATGACTAAGTAGCATATTATTACTAATTGAAACTGCAATGTAAAAGTTTTGTTGGAGTGGGAAATGGCGGGTCAGGAATTTTATTATGAAAGGTCAGGAAAAACCTGCAAAAGCCAGGATATTGTTTTCTCAAAATAGTGTAGGAACCCTGCACTGACAAAAAAGAATAAAAAATAAATTTATATCTGAAACATGAAAGACACAGGTTAATCCAAATAAAGTGGTGTCGTTTGAAGTGCACACGTTTTATCGCTGGGTTTAATGATAAACGTGAGGAACTAGATATAGATGTTTACTACGTGGTTTATGCAATTTTCTTCTGTTTGAATCTAATTACCATCTGAGGAAAAAATAACTCGCTCACTAAAACTGCTTTTGATTTGCAGGTTGCTGAGATTTTTTTCTATAATACTGAAATTTTAAACTGAAAACTTGTTTACGTATAACTAGGAACAATAAAAGCACAAAAAAGTTTTATAATTGAATAAAAATTAATAATTTAAATGTCATTCAAAATAACTAAATTAGTTCTTTTATATTAAAAATGGGGTTAATATTAAAGATATATCATTCTGCTAATGATTTTTACTAACAAAGAAATTAAAATAGCCTTTAATTTCTTACTTCCTGTTATCAAGCATCTTGCAAAGTGTCTTCTCTTCACCCCTAACAGATTTACCAATATAATTTTCCCCCCCCCCCCCTTCTCAAAAAACCCTTCTCTTAACTCCATTTAAAAAGCCATTTTAAAAAAGTACTTAGATAACTTTTCCATGTATCCTGAATTTGATTGTTGATGAAGCTTCATTTTTCTAAACCCTAATAAATTTCACAATATAATTAACACTCCCCCCAAAGGACTGGGGAGGGAGATTTTTAAAAACTAATTTTGCAAATAAAAAGTAATAACCTTTCCTTACAGTCTGAAATAGATCATCTTGTAAAGATTTTTCTACATATATTTTTATATTATATTATGTGTACATATATTTTTATTTTAGTTAATATATATTATGACAAAATAAAATAATTTCAAGTTTTAAATCTTTTTTCATTTGTGTCACTTTAAACATAAGCATATTAAGCAAAAAAGACTTTTAGACAAGGATGGAAATAGATTCATGCAAAATAAAAAAGTAAAATAAAAAATACAATAAAAAAATATGCAATAGTACTCACCTTATTTTGCAGATTAAAAATTCAATGAATCATTTCATTTCAGAAGAAAATTCAACTTAAATTCAACTTAATTCAACTTAAAAAAAGTAAATATTGGTTAAGACAAATGTTCCATGTGCAAGAAAGAAGAAACTGTTGTCTGTAAACCAGTTATTCACACAAAGAGCAATAAACTTAGCAACCCTATCAAAAATTCATTATTATTGGATAAACAGGAGGAAAATTGCTAACAGGACAGGTTCTACCTGGGAAAGAGGAATGTTATGAGGAAATCTTGGTCTTCTCAAGAAGTTTTTTCAGGCTAACCTTTTTCCTGCTAGTGTTTTCCAGTTTTTAAGACCAAAAGGTCTTTTTCTGGGCCATCTATCCTTCTCAAATTCGGCCTGCCAACTGGTCTGACATTGAAAACTCTTTTTGTAGTACGGTCTTCGTCCATTCTGATAACGTGGCCTACCCATTTTTATTCTTTGTCGTTTAATAAAGTTAATAATGTCAGGTTCGTTATATGAGTGATAAAACTCTAGATTTGATCTTCTAAGCCACACATCATATTCTCCAAAAAATATTTCTCAAGACTTTTCTCTCAAAGGTACCCAACATAGCCGTACAAGATATGGTTTCACAAGCATATGTTGAAATTGATCTTAAAAGAGATTATAAAACTTTTGTTTTTCTATTGCATTGGATTTTATGTATTTTCGAATTCAATTAAAACATTTATTGGCTATAGTAATTCTTCTTTGTATTTCCATTGTAATATTGTTCCTGTTGTACCCAAGAAAACAAAATTGTCAACAACTTCAAATTTATATTCTTCAATTTTTAAATGGGTGTTATTGAAGTTTGCAGGGAAAATATTTAGTTTTGCTCACCTTTATTCTCTTGACCAATAATCTGAAATTTCATGATTTTCATTTTTTTTTATTACTATGTACAATATTCTCTAACATAACTTTATCTTCCAAAAGACATCAAACAAAGTTGAAATATAATTATCATTAATGTTTAATTTTACAGCAGATAGGAGTTTTTCAATATTTCTTTCTGAACATTAATATTGACATAGAAGGATAGAAAAGGAATGCAATTTTCAGGAAAAAAATTTCTAAATTGAAAATAATTTTAATAGGGACTGTTTTTTCTTTTGTTATGCCTAATTTGGGCATGACCATGGGTGCCACTTTTCAGTCCTGGGGACTGAAATCAGTCTTGAGAAAAATCGACGAACTAATAAATTCTATTAATTGAATTAAATTTTCTTTTTCTTTTCATTAGAAATTTAAAATTTTTTTTGGTCAAAATAAAAAAAAATATATCTGTTCGCGCATGTGCGACTGCCGCGCCACCCTTTTGAGAGAGACCTTTTTTATACCTTGAGAACTTCAGGAATGGCGGACGTAGTCCGTGAGTCTTTAAAAATAAAGTGTTCTACAGTCCATGCAAACCAGAGCTGTTATTTACGAAAAATACATTTTGAGCTATCGATTAGAGTGATCACAAACAATATCTTAATGAAAACATATGATATGGTAGTGATGTCAGGACTTTTATTTATCTTGACAAATGGGATTGATTGAACTTCCCCTACTTGTGTAATTAAATTTGTAATATTGCTGAATCTAAATCTACTAGAGTTTGCTTCCCCCCCTAACCTATTGTCATGCTGACCAAAGTTAAATTAAGATTATTTTTTTAAAAAAGAAGAAATTATAGTGCTAGAACAAAAAATAAGTAATGGTGAAGTGAAAAATATGGATATGAATGGTTTTAGGTTGTTTAGTAATAGTTGTAAAAATATATACATGGTTAGCTGTTATTTTCGTTTTGTTTTCTAAAAAAACATAAAACAAAGAAAAAGAAATTTGAGAAAAATTAATCAAATGATTGATTTAATATGTAGGCTATTATCAAAGGTAAATTTTGGTGTCAGTGACTTATAAATTTCTAAAAGTTTGGTAAACAACGCTAGATAGTATTATTTGGTCAAAAAATAAATTCAGTCTTGAAATTTTTTTAGAGTGGCATCCCTGGGCATGACACTTTTCTTCCATAATTTTATTTCTGTTTCGTTTTTGACTTGTTCCTCATACTTTCTCCTTCCCTGTAATGTGGACTATTTTCTCCTTTTTCATTCTCATACCATCTATTTGTCTTTCATTCTATTCCTAACTGCCTGATAAGGGGAGGCTCGTTCTTTTCAAAATGTATAGTGCCACTTTACCATATTTTATTTACCGAAGATTTTTTAATAAAATGTGTTGTTTAGTACATTGTGAAAATAATGTCTGAAAAGAAATGAATTAGGTATTTTTTCCCACTCTCAGAGAAAAGGTAATCGTATTACAATGGAGAGGCATTACCTGATTATGATCGAGACAAT